GGGAATCCCTGACAGCCCCCCCCCCCCTTGCAAATCCACTTATCCCTGTTTTTAAAAAGTGGGGCTTAGATACTGATAGGCCTAATCTGGGGGAGGTGAATGGGAGTGATGGAAAGCATAGAACTCACATGATTTTACCTCTATGCAAAGGGGAGGAGGAAGTATCAATGTGGGAAAGCCCATCACAATTGGATGAAATGGAGCAGAGAAACAGCATACAGCAAAGTGCTTTTTCTTTTTAGTTTTTCCTTGATTTTTAATTGTGTGCTTAGCATTTGAACTGGCAAATGAAAATAATAATAAAAAATCAATTACATTTATAAAAATACAAGATGTTTTCCCTAGTGGCAATTTAATTGCAAAATTAGAAGTCGCACAGCTTTGATTAATGCAAACACAGCTTTGGGCATTAAAATTAAGAATATATGGGGAGAAGGATAGGAGATCAGACTAAAGATATAGGTTTGATCCTGTTTGTAAAGTATCAAGAATTAATCTTAAGCAGAAACCATGAAATCAAATTTTGGATTGGTTGAATTTGAAATACTAACAAATAAATAAATACCAGTTTTACCAGTGTGAAAAAAGTAGGCATAAATAAATTCATGGTGGTCTTTGTGAGTATGAATTATTGGGTGGTGCTGTAATAGAGGAGGGTCTGGGAGAGGCTGAGGTGTCTGGGTTGTTTTTTCCCCCCATCTTTTACTAAATGGCCTTTGGTAGTTTGAGTTCCCCTGTTTTATTGTTTGTGGTTTTCCTGTCTCTTTCCACATATTAATATGCCACTGTTTTCTCTGTGTGACTGCTTGTAATAATGTGTCTCTTTCTGCTTCTAATTTTTCTCTTTTGCTTTATTGTAAGAGAAATAAGTTACAATATTACCATTCCCCTGCTTCTATATACTATGTAACTAATATGGGAAAGCTGAAAGACTTATACTTGCACTGGGGGAAGTTGGAGAGCTGAGAAAGATTTAAAATATCTCCAGTTCTGTCTTTGACATGTTTCTAACTTTTTGTTAAGTTCCATTAAATTTTTTTTTTCTTTTTGGATTCAGCTTAGTCTGGATGTTATTTAAGGTTTTAGCCTTTTCACATACCAAGCAACTTCCACTTTTTTCTTAATTGCATAAAGTTCATAAACCTCTCTGCTAATGTTAGCAGTATCATTTTCCATTCATTTTGATAAAATAATACAAACAAAATGCATTATACCATATGTAACCCAAGCTGTTATGAATTTTTGTGGTTCCTCCTCCTTGTGGTCCATGCTGTCTCTGCCCTGAGAAAGTTCTGTTTCTATGAAATGACAGTTTGAAAACCATGCAATAAAATTGTCAGAAGTGCCCACGTGGTGCTGAACAGACCTAAAGATGCCTGAGCTCGCCAAACTTTTTTTTTTTTTTTCCCAAACAAAGGTCTGGATATTGGGTCCACTGGGAAATGCCTAGAAGCATGAATCTGGCACTGAGGGTCAATTTAGGGGGTCAGTGTAGTTCAAACAAAAGGGTAAATTGTCTGAAATTGGAGGCATGTGTGTATTTAGGGCCACTGTAGCTGTGGCTTCTCAACAAGGAGTAAAGCAAATGTGCTTTAGGCTGTTTGTTTCAAAAGCCTCCTTCCCTTGTGAGATCACTGCTGGGTTCTGGTTGAGTGAGGAGGCTAAACAGCTAACATTCATTTAAGTGGAGGGTGTGCACAAATTTAATAAACATGATTAGGAGTGGTGTTTTGTGCCTGATGGGCACAGTAACATGAAAACAGAAGTGGCTCCCACACAGTGGAGACAGTAGGAGTTTGGGAGTCAGACAAAACCTTATTGATAATTTGTAGAGAATTGAGCTGGACTTTGCAGGGCAAATGGGAATTGGGAATGACAGGGGTATTGGAAGCCTATCCACAGGCCCAGGGAAGGCTGAGGACAAGATGCTCAGACTAGAATGAGTGTTATGTTTTTTGGGGGGCAGATGAACAGACCTATCTACAGATTGTGTGGGTATATGGAGTGGGGGGAGTGATAGGGAGAAAAAGTAGAATGAGCTAGAAACTTTGTATGGGCTTGGGGAAGACTTTAGTACCAGCCCAGGGAACTTGGCAGACTGAATGCTATGCACCTTTGCACAGAGCAACTTGGCTTGAGGAAGAGTCTTTGGGCATTAGTCTCTCCATTAAAGTGAACGGATGATAATTGGCAAGAAAAAGGATCTTGACATTTTCTAGGATGAAGCTTTCTGCCTTGCTTGGAGCACTGGTTATCCCCCAGCCAAGCCTGATATCTCTTGTAGGTGGTTCCTAGCCTTATGCTGACAATGCAAGACCATGCTTTTTAACCAACAATAGCCAGAAACATCCCTTGCTGAAAAGCTAACACCAAAAGAACGCCAGTGTTCCAAACCCCAGGTAGTGCCCTTCTACTATTCAACTCTCCTCATTGTAGAGATGTGATCGATAGATTCTGAAACTGAATAACTTATCAGAGGAGATTTACTCATTGCTGATGTAATGTTACCCACTGACACCTTTCTTGAGAGAAAAACATCATTTTTATATTAATATAGTTTAGAATATTCATGATAGTATATGTTGTGCAAGAGAAAACCACAAAGTCCCTGTCTCATAAACATTTTGGGTAATTAGGGAAGTAAATCTAAACATTTTTTCCATATGCTTTTATTGGTGTGTTATAATTGTACATAATGGTGGGATCTGTTTATATAGTCATACATAACATATACAAATCAAAGCATTTTTGATGCTGTTATTGAAAATTGTACCAGGATTTGTTTATCTTCAATGAAGCCACAACTATCTGGACATCTTGAGAATGTGACATTCTGGTAGATAAGTCAGAAGAGTGGTGTAGATTTATTTTAATATTCTTGAATAGGACTAAATGTGCTCTGTGCATTTCAATACCTGCTGCTAGATGACAGCCTGCATCCTCACCATTGATGTCTTTTCCATGTCTGATGGACTGTGAGGGGCTTAGGCACTAGTTCTCTATTGCTGCATGATAAGTCACCTGAAATTTTTGACTGTATTGTCTCACATGATTTCTGTGGTGTGGGATTTGGAAGGGTTTGTGTGGATAGTTCTCACTTGGGGTCTCATGGGTTGTGGTAAAGATGGTGGCTAGGGCTTCTACATAAAGCCAATATGAAATTCACCAAAATGGCAGAAGTATCACTTGAATTGTAAAGTAAATGAATTAGGCTCAGAAGTGCCTTAAGGATGGGATTCCCACTTATATTTGTTGATTAAATGACATTGTATATAAATATGCTTAATATATGCTTGCTTTTGGTCATTTTTCTCTAGGCTTTTTTTTTTTTTTTGTACTGAGGATTGAATTTAGGGGCACTTGGCCACTGAGCTACATCCCCAGCATTATTTTGTATTTTATTTAGAGATAGGGTCTCACTGAGTTGCTTAGTGCCTCATTATTGCTGTGACTGGCTTTTGAACTCATGATCCTTCTGCCTCAGCTTCCTGAGCTGCTGGGATTACAAGGCGTGTGCCACCATGCCCAGCTTCTAAGCCTATTCTTGAATATTATTATGCTGGAATGGCAGTGGTACGCTCAGGACTCAGTTTGAGTTAAGGTAGGATTATTTTTGCTGTGATTTGGTCCAATTTAGGACTTTATTCATGTACAACACTCTGCTGCTACTTGCTTGGCTTGGAACCACACCACCATCTCACCATCCCAATCGGTAAGGGAATCCTGCTACAGATGTCAGTGTCAAGGGATTAGACAGAGTATGCAGTAGTTTATCTTGTGATGTGGTTTTTTGAGTGTATCATATATGGGAGGATGTGTATAGTCAATTTTCCCTTCTGGATACTTCTGTTTTTATATTGATGTTAACTTCTTAAAATCATATATTTAAAACTAAGATTAAATGAAGATCAAAATCAGAGTTGTTCTGATAATATTTATCAATTTCTCAGTGCTACTGGGAGAAATAGCCTTGTGGTCCAACCAGTTTGGGAAAATCATATATTCAAAATTCAGTTTTTGAGGCCTGGCTGTGGGTGTGATGTCTCACTTTCCCGGGGCCAGGGACTTGAACAGAAGAAGTGGGAGGGTTGAGCTTGTGAAATTTAGGTTATCGGATTCCCATGCATACCAGTCAGTGTGCATTTATAGAGACAACCAAAGAGATAGCTGCCCAGACTCAGACAATTATAGGTGTGTCCCGTTTTATACAACAGCTGCTGCCCTAAAACCATCTTGTCAATCAACATGATCAAGGCAGTGGGGGAGGGGGAAGCTCTGCCCAAAGAAATCCATGAAAAACAATTTACTTTCTCTCTTGTCAAGCCCAGGTTTCCTTAATCAGATTTCCCTCAAGAAGAGAAGTTTGTAGACAATGTGCTTTTGCTGTTTTTTCTCTAGAAAAACAAAAAATGGTCCTTTGAAATTTCTGATTCTTATAGTGCAGGAAGTGCTCAGAAGGCATCTCATTGTACTGTTACCTTGCTTGACTTTCTGCATTTGCTTGATGGTTGATGTTGGTTCATTAACTTATGACCATGGGTAGTGAAAATGCTGCAAGTGCATTGTGCATAGGTTTAAGTTGGTGTTCATGTGTGCTGGATGGAAACTGAAAGTTGTAAGAGAGAGCATTTCTCACGGAGTGAGAGCAGAGCATGGGTGCTCTCCAATTCTGGAAGAGTCACATTCCATTGTCATGGCCTCATTAATAGACTGTGTGGAAGAAGATGCTTGTTTTACCTGTTTTGTTGGTAACTGTCAATATCTGTTTTTGCTGGTATTTAAAGTGCACTTTGAGATAGTAATGCTTTTAATTATAAGTGTTACTAACATTGTTATTTACGCAAAGCTGGTGAATTTATTTTCCAACCAAATAGTTGTGGCAAAAGCAGTCAATTAGATAAGATAATGTATAATTTTGTTCTAAAACTAATTCTAGAATCAGCAGAGCTATACAAAACTAACCTGACTTTCAGATTTGTTTTCATAATTTTATTTTGCAGGATAACAAAGCCATTGACCTTTGCCGATTGTGTTGGGGACGAACTTCCTTTAGGATGGGAAACTGTATATGATAAACAAATTGGAATTTATTATATGGACCACATAAATAGTAAGTAGAGTGCCACACTTGCCATCATTACATGTAAATGATTGTTCAGGTTGAATCTCAAAAAATGCTAAAATGTTGTTTTGTAAAGCAAAACAATCGTTACCATCTGATGCAATGTGGAATGGATTTTATAAATATAATTGAAGTTTTCATTAACTGAGTGCTCAGTGCATGAAGCAGTTAGCTATGTGTTACTTGTGTCTTGCTGAGGACTGAATGTAATAAGTTTAATGCAGGGTTTTAATATTTAGTATAAGCAATAAATTTCCCAGGCAATCTGGAATCAGAAATACCTCTCATAATGGAAAGGTTTATTGCAAAGTAGAATTTAACAAGTTCCTGGAACAGCAAGTGCCCAAGTGGTTGCTTTAACACACCAAACCTTTTGATCTTCATGTGAAAGGAGAAAATGGTGTAAAGGTGACAGGTCTTTGATCTTGCTAGTGTCTTTTGTAGAACTATTTGGAGCAGTGGTTCTCAGCCGGGGGTGATCTTTGTCCCCTGGGGACATTTGGCAGTACCTAGAGGCATTCACAATAGTTGTGCCTAACAGAGGTGCTGCTGGCATTTAGTGGGTGGAGACCAGGAGTGCTGCTAAACATCCTACAGTGCACAGGATGGTCTCCCAACAGAGGGAATAGTGCCAAAGAAGGGAAACCTTGATACAGAGGCTCCATGTCATTCTACATCCATTCTCCACCCTCACTCTTGGCTTTCTGCTTCTTCATTAGCCTTTCTAGAACCGATCCCAACTAGGGTTCCATTTCTCACTCCCATTTTTATTCTAGCTCCCTTCAGTGTTTCTGTCATTGTCATATTACTACTGGGGACATGAAGCATGGCTTTCCCTTGCCTTGCTTTTTCTTTCAGTTTATTAAGTGTGGATCTGAAGATGCATGATGGATTTTGATATTCTTTCCCTCTCCAGTCCTGTGGTACCTCATGTTCCCTTAGTATGATTAACCTGGGCTGGTTTCTTTGGGGTCGATTCCTGAGTTTTGAATTGCCCATGATGTTTCAAGGTTGTGAGCATTCTTGTCTTAGATATTGAATGACATTGTCAGGCAGTGGGCTTTCCAATTCCTGGCACTAAGCTTTGTACAATTGTAGCCATTATTCAAAAACTGGCCAGTGATGATTGGAAACAGAAAATAAATATTGTCCTGGCCCCACTGGCCTCCCATGCAGGTATCCAAGTGGCAGGAGAGTTTCTAGGTGGATCTGCCACCCACTGGATAGAGTGAGGTACCTGGAAGAAGAGAAGTTGAGAGGCCCCAGCTGAAGACTGTTCTTCCAGTGGCACTCAGTTGGCTTGCCACCTCATGGCTATGTGTTTGGGTGAATATGGCTATCTTGGGTGGCCCTCTCAGCTGATAGAGTAAGAGGCAGTTCCTGACAGCCAAAACCCTCTCATTCTGTGAAACTACTATGCTATGGGACTGGGCAGTATGGCTGTACCACTAGGCTTTCTCCTTCCTGGGCCTAAGTAAGTATAGATGCTCACCAAATGGTGTAGACATTTGCCTTATACAACATTTCCAGAAAGTCTGCCTGCTGCTCTTGTGACCTAGGACCTGTTCTGGCCCGTCTTTCTTTAAACTCAGCACTTATCCACCAGCGCCCCTTGTTTACCATGACATTCCTTGCCCGCTCACTCACTGAATCACAGCAGGCGTTTATAGAACACCTTTGAACTGCCCACTCTCTTTAGGCCCTGGGCACCTAAGAAAGTAAAACCCATTCTTCACCCTCAAAGATTGACACTCTAAAAGTGGCCATGAACCCTAAAAGAAAATAGCCACCAAGGACTTTCTTCCAGCCACCAGGAACATAAAGGATGACCTAGCATGTGGAGGGTAGTGAGTGAGCATGAAAGCAGCTCTGAGGTCACATCACCTCCTTCATCTGAGACCTTCAAGGAACCCAACTCTTGATGACACAGGTTTAAAACTCTTTAAAGCAAAGATCTAAGGAATCAAATATTAACATTTGAACTATGCAGGTGGGGTGAGGGACCAGAGAGGCTATGGGTTGATACCCTCAAGATTCCTGAGACCCTCCAGGGCACTGGAACACTGTGAACAATGCCATTGGCTGGCTTCAGGGTGTCATGCAGCTGAATAAACATCAGGAACATCCGGGCAATTACGAAAGTACTGATTCTGCCCCACCCCAGTCCCATTGAATCTGAACTCTGGGGCTAAAGCCAGACTCTGATTTTTGTTTTTTGTTTTTTCGCTTTGTTTTATCTTTACCCATATAAGCTTTCAAGGCCTAGAGAGGCTTTCTAAGAGCCTGGGGTGGCAGTGTAAAGGGCTGATTAGGGGTATAGGCAGGAAGGTGGATGGGGATAATGTTTTCAGGAGAACCTGCTTTGGAACATTTAGCAAGCACACTTGTGTGGGTGGGAAAACAAGAATAGCATAAAATTTGCCTTACTAACCACTTTGAGGTGAAATTCACAGATCACAAAATGAACATTTTAAAGCGAACAGTTCAATAACATTTAGTGCATTCATAATATTATGCAACTGTCATCTCTGCTAGTTCCAAAACACTTTCATTAGCCCAACGGGAAAGCTATCCTCATTAATCAGTCATTCTGTATTGCCCTCTCCCCTAGTCTCTGCTAGCTGTTTCTGCTTTCTGTCCTTGTGAATTTGTACATTCTAGACATTTCATATCTATGGAATCATCTGTATGGCTTATTGTGTCTGGCTTCTCTCACTTAGCATGATGCTTTCAAGATTTCTCTATTTTGTAGCACATGTCAGTACTTCATTCCTTTTTATGACCTAATATCTTTCCACTCTCTAAATTGAGAGAAGATCCTGGGGATATAAAGCCTAAGGCAGAACCTTTGCTGTCCAGGGTTCATAATTTACCTGTGAAGCAGAAAATATAGAAATAAGTATGTGCCAACTGGTACAGGTGGTTAGAATGGCATTGTCAATTGTGCAGAGGAGAGACACAGACCAGGAGAGCCAGAGAAGGCTTCAAAAAGAAGGCCTTTGCAATGAGTCTTGGAAGGTGGTAGGCTGCCCTGGTGAGCAGAGAGGACAGAAGCAGCATAAACACAGGCACCAATGAGCTAGTCAGGCACATCTGGTGATTTTGGAAAAGTTGTCTGTATAGAGGTTGTTTGTGAGGAAAAGGACACAAAATAGAGATGAAGCTAGAAAACGAATTTTGGGACTCATGCTGTGGATACTGGATTTTGTGCTTTAGAAGAGGTACATATGAAAGAGGGTTGCAGCAGTTAGGAAGGTAATGTGGGTAAGTGCACTGAGGATGGGCTTTGTTGGCATGAGACAAGAAGCTGAGTGACTATGGGGAAAGATTGTGAGGCCCTGATTGAAGTAAGGGGAGACAGAGAAAAGGGCATATAGTCAGTCATTATTGTATTCAGCAGTAGGAATCACCACTTCTTGATAATCCTTAGAGTATTCTGGGGGGTGGGGGGAGAAGAGCACGAGTTCTTTGAGGATGATACTCAGCTTGGATTCCCAGGTTGGCTAAGTAGATAGATCCAGATACTGCTCATCGAGAGAGGGAAGCAGTGCATGGTGTGAGTTGTTTAATTTAGTTTTGCTTCTGGTAGTGAAAGGGCAGTGTGTGAGAACAAGTTGTGCTTCAGATGACTGGCTCAGAATTACTATGGGTCTGACAAGAAGGAGATGCATTTAGGAGGCAGCTGGGAATAAAAAAAAAATTGGAGCTCAAGATAGGAGTTGGAGCCAGAGGTAGATGTGGGCCCTTTCAAGAGCCTGCAGAGTGGGAAATGTGGGGAATTGTGCGTGGGAGGGGAATGAGAAAAGGAAAAGAGTAGCAAGTCAAGCAGGGGACAGTAGTGTTTTTACACATCCCATGTGAAGACTGTTCTTCTCACTGACTTCTTCACATCTCATGGTGAAGAAGTCAGTGAGAAGAACATTGTAATTATCCATTATACAAATATCCATTAACAGTTTTGAACTCATTTGGGTGCATCTGCTTGGGCACTTATTTAAAGTATGGTCTTTATTGATGAAAGGATCGTCTTGTCTTTCCTCCTCCACTGAACTATTTCATATCTGTAGAGTTTTCTTTTTGTCTGAACTTTGGAAATATAAGTAGAAGATGTTCCAAACTTCAGAAAGGTTCATGATGTGAAACCTTTCACAATGTTCATCCTGATAATTAGTTAATTTTCATATTGACTAGTAGCATAATGCATGACTGTTGGTCAACCTACAGATGTTACCCTCAAGACACTCATTTCCTTATCATCTTCCTTTTAGAGCTTACCCAGATTGAGGATCCAAGAGAGCAGTGGAGGCGAGAGCAGGAACGGATGTTGAAGGAGTATTTAATTGTAGCCCAGGAGGCTCTCAATGCCAAGAAAGAAATATACCAGATCAAGCAACAGCGGTTCGAGCTGGCCCAGGAGGAATACCAGCAGCTGCACAAACTGTGTGAGGACGACAGCCGCTCGTATGCTAGCTGTGAGTTGACTTGTTCCCTTCACTGAATGCATGTGACTTTAAAAGCCATCTCCCTGCTAAGTTATCTGCAAACAACCAACTTTACTCGGGCAAGATGGCTTTGTAAAGGCTCCAATCTCATACTATTAGCTAATGGATATTTATCAAATACTCACTTTGTGCTCAGATGTTAAAATATGGTGGTGATTAAGAAAGGAAAGGTCCCTCTCCTCATGAAGCTACATTCATGTGGGAAAAGTGAAAAATAAATGAGCTAACAAAATTTCAGGTCATGCTATGAGACAATCTCCTGTCTCATGATTGTCAGTTTTGAAGACACTTCACTCAGAGACCAGTGCACTTAATAGCTGTCTTACTATGTGCCTTGAGGGAATGGAGGCAACTCAGGTATAATGATATGGTGCTTCCAAGTCATATTTCTCCTGGTCTTCAGATATTGGTTCAAATATTGCAACTTAATATTGCTTGTCTGGAGTGACCTCTTGGGGAATGATTCCCTTATTCCTGGGTGGGAAGATTTGGGAGTCTGCAGGCATGCTCAGCTCCTGTCTGTCTGTGGAGGCCTTTCCTGGGATTTAATCTTTATTGGGCAGTACACTGAAGGAGAAGGAACCCAGTCTAACCCAAAGAATAAGAGAAATCTGACCCCCAAGTAAATGGCTGTATCTACTGTTCATGCTTTTTTCCCCCTTTTTTGGTGGTGCTGGGGATTGAACCCAGGGCCTTGTGTACAAAAGGCAAGCACTCTACCAACTGAGCTATATCCCCAGCTGGACCCTACTGTTCTTCAGAGGAATGCTTCCTTAGTTTCAGAGGGTACCAGAGATGAGCTCCCATTCATTAGTGCTTAGTGGGTGCTCAGGGATGGAAGGAACCAGGTCTGGTCTCAGAAGCCAAATCCTTTTTTTTTTTTTAACTGATGGTAACTGCTCAAGCTAATCCCTTCCCAACAGAATTGTCACACTCAATAGTCCATGGCTACCATGTCTTGGGGGCCATGGATCTTGGAGAGAATATATGAAGTTAGTACCACTAAGTTTTATTTTATCAAAACCTAAGTCTAGTGACACACAGGAGTATCTATGTGTGACATTATTGTCATGTTATCAGGTATTTGGCTCTGGTGACCAAGCTTTGAACATAAAAGATGTGATCATAGCTATATTCTGTGTTGCAAGACAGAGTGGAATAAACGCCAAGGGGCCACATGTCTTGTGCTCTTTTTATTGCACTACTGTCAAAGGTGAAAGAAGCATAGAAAACTGTGGACAGTGGCGAGGTTTTGCCTCTGTAATAGGAATGTAAGATGTCTTTCTTACCATGTGCCTTGAGGGAATGGAGGCAACTCAGGTATAATGATGTGTTGCTTCAAAGTCACCTTATCTTCTGGTCTTCAGATATTGGTTCATGAAAGTTTTTTATTGATTCTTTTTAGTTATATATGACAATAGAATCCATTTTTATATAGTTACACAAGCATTTTTTATAATATATCTCATTCTAATTAGGACCCCAGTGCATGCAAGTTTTTTTTTTTTTTTTTTTTAAAGTTTCCATGAAAAGGTGATAGGTCAGCTCAGTGCAGAATTTTATGGACTGGTTTCTTCTCTCCATAGTTTTCATGTAATGCCTTTCTCTGATTATCATATTGGGGTAATGCTAGCTTCATAGAATAAATTGAGAAGTTTTCTCTTCAATTTACTGTAAGAATTTTTATGGGATTAATATTAATGCTTTCTCAACTGTTTAATAGAATGTATCAGAAAAGCCACAAAGGCTTGGAGTTTTTTGTGGTAATGTTTTTAACTATAGAGTCCAATACCTTTGATAGATATAGGGTTGTTTTTTAAAATTTTTTCCTCTTGAATCAGTTTTGGTATTTGTATGTTCCAAAGGTTTTGTTCTTTTTATCTAATCTTAAACTCAGCAAACTTTTCTATAAAGAGTCAGTAGTGACTATTTTATACTTTGTGGGCTACTGGATCTTAGTCCCCACTACTTAATACTTTTGTTATTGGGCAAAAGCACTCAGAGACAATATGTAAATGAATGTGTCTGGCTGTGTTCCAATTAAAGTATAAATACAGGTAATAAGCCAGATTTGGCCCATAGGGAGTTTGTCAAACTATGATGTGAGCTGTCAAGTCTGTATTGTTCGTAGTCTCCCCTTGTTATCCTTTGACTCTCTGTAGGATACAAGGTGTGAATCCTCTTTCATGCCTGATATTAATAATGTCTGTCTTCTTTTTCTTTATTATAAGTGTAACTAAACTTTTGTCAATTTTATTTATCTTTACAATGAACTGGCTTTTGGTTTTCTTTCCCCCTCTGCCTCTTGTCTTTTTTTCTATTGATTTTCATTATTTTTTATTTCCTTCTTTCTACTTAGTTTATCTTTAATTTGTTCTTCCCTTTCTGGCTTCCTAAAGTGGAAACTTAGATCACTGAATTTAGACCTTAGTCTTTCACATAGCCTTTAAAAGTGCAAATTCTTGAAGCTCTCTTTAATTCATCCCATACATTACTATATTTTAAAATTTTTATTCCTTTCAAAATATGTTTTCATTTCTATGTGATTTAGATTTTGACCCATGGGTTCTTTAAAAGTAAGTTGTTGGGGGCTGGAGTTGTGGTTCAGTGTTAGAACACCTGCCTCGTATGTGTGAGGCACTGGGTTTAAAAAATAAATACATAAAAATAAAAGTTCATCCACAACTAAAAATATATATGTATATGTATATTTTAAAAAGTAAGTTGTTGGGAATTTTAAAAGATAACATGTTGTTATTGATTTCTAATCTAATTCCATTGTGGTCAGAGACTAACCAAGCTAAAATTTCAATCTTTTGAAATCTATTGAGATGACTTTTATGGCCCACCATGTGGTATCTCTTGGTGATCTCAAGAACAGATGCCCTTGGACTTGATGCCTCAACATCACACCTAGCTGAAACATTGACTTATAACTGGTTCTGAGATCATGTAGTTCATACAGCTTTCAGAAAGCTACTTGGCAGAAGCAAGGTTAAACCAAACAAAATTGCCATTTGTTTGCTAAATAAATTGAATATTGGCAGTTTCTTATGATTCAACCTAATAGTGTGTTTCTTTCCCATATCCCTTAGGCACTTTATCTGTTACGTTTTGGGTTTGGTTAGGTCCCCAAAGAGGCCCTCAAATCAATCTTTCAAAAAGTGGAACAGAAGAAGTACATATCAGAAAAACTTGGTAGGAAGTTTCTTTCTCGTGATTAAAAAGAAGAATTGAGTTAAGAGAAGGTGGTGTGTGTTATGTACTAGCTACAATCAGTGCAGCCAGAATTTCAGCTTCAAGGAGTGTGGGCACTCTGGACTGTACACCTTTGAAGAGGTAGATATAGGGGAACCTTAGAGCAGCCACTCTGAAGGTGGAGATGGGGAAACCCAATGCAGTGTTGAGCCTGTGGAGTAAGGTTATTCAGTACTTAGAGTCCTATGGATCTGGGATATTCAGCAAGATTGGCTTTTGTATTTCCATCGCCTTTTTATGCTCTTGATGTTTGGGCAAATAAGGAATTATGCTTAATTGCATTCCTTCCTGTACCCCACAGAATTTTATTAATGCTCAGTAAAAATACTCAAGACGCTATCTTTCTCAAGACGCTGTCTTTGAAGTGGTGTCTGCTTCTTCAGTAGAGGAAACTGACAGTTCTGTAGTGTTGAGAATTGAATATACCCATCAGTTTCCATTGGCTGACCTGTGAAGTCTTGGTTTAGACAGAGTCCCTTCTCCATGTGAATAGGTTGCCTTGGAGGCCAGAATTAGGCCTGTCTGTTTTCATGAAAGGGCTAGAGATGCCAGTGGAGCTTCCTGGGGCCTCTTAGCTCACCAGGGAAAAAGTCAACTATGAATGGAATCTAGGAGTTAATCCAAGTGGTTTATCAAATTGCTCTGTCCCTAGGGCTCCTACTAGGCTCTTTTAGTCTGTTGTTTAACCTGAACAACTGATTACAATGAGGAAAACCCTGATAGTCATGACTCAAATGAATTCTTTCTGGCCACAGGATAAAGTTCAGTACAGTGATCCTGTTGGTTTGAATTGCTGATTTAACAGATGGCTTGCACAGCCATGTCAGAGGTAATGGGCCCACGTTGGTAGCTGCTGTGGCTGTACCACAGCACATCTGGCTCCAGTTGGCTACTTGGATCTTACAGCCTCTCCATCTCTTTCACTGCCAGTTGATCACCTGAAGCAGGGAGGTGACTCCTTGCTCTGGTACTGGGAACTATATATCACCTGGATTTACTTTGTTACTTCTTCATTGATAATAACTTGAAGTAGAAGAAAACAATATTCAATAAGGTAGTGTTTCATATGCTTTGTTATGTTTTCCACATTGTAACCTCTGCTATCATCTTGGGAAACTGAATCAATCGACTAAATTACTTCTTCAAGGTTATATACCCAGTAAATGATAGAATTTGAATTTGAACCCAGATCTATTTTTTTCATGGCTGTCAGTTCTCTGTACTATTTCCCAGACAAACAAGGCAGCTCAGAAGAGCTGATTGCATTTTTAGAATGCTTAACTTCTCTTTCAAGTTATCTGAAAATAAAGGCTGGTTATAAATGGACAGGTTGTATGGCAATTATACAACAATAAAGGGGCAAGAGGAAAGCAGAGCACTTTCTACTTCTTGACTTTCTCATGGCCCATGTAGGATCACTCAGCTATTTCTTCACTTTTTGACAGGTATTTATTAAGTACCCACTGTTGGTATATACTAAATGCTAGGAACACACTTTATTCCTAATGGCTGATCACAGGGGAGAATGAGGCAATAATGATAAACAGCCATTTTTAATGTTGGAGCAGAAGGGTGTGGGGAGGAGTGGAGGAGAGGAAGTGCATCTCACTTATACCCTTCAAAAATTTTCTCCTGAGCTATTGAAATCATCAGAAAAAAACTCCATTCATTGGAGAGGAAAGATTTTGTGTCAATGTTGAGCCATCTGGTAT